TTCCCGCTTTACGAGTACAAGTTCTTCAGGAACTGCAACAAGAAGAACGAATAATGACATTAGACGCAATCGGTTTGTTCATTTACGCATGTCGATTAATTTCATTCGATTAATCGTGTCTCTACGTGAATTAAATTTTTAGAAAGGAATACAATGGATTTGTTAAATGTCACAGCGAGATACAAACTTTATGATCATTAGAACTATCAGAATGTTATTTTATTGTAAGATTATCGGTTCTACATTCATGAAATACTCATGAATATATTGTCAATGCCCTTTATATTTATAGCAGAATTAATTCATTTTCCGCTACCTTCAATCTTGTTATCCTTTTTCTTCCACAAACCAATTCTAATTATACGCATATAAAGTAGCAAAAGTATCATAGTTATTCTTACACCATAGAAGTATGGGCAGCGTCGGTATGTAGAGGAATATCATAACAGTCGCAAAACAAAAGCCAAAATTGTAGAAAACCTTGGATCCGTCGTAACCCATACCATAAAAAGTTCTGCCTATAGTGAATCCCAAGAATATGTACAAATATCTTCAGGTACAGATGGTTCTGTGAACACAAATAGAACTCGCTTATTTCTACGTTCGTTTTGATAACTTTGTGGACCAATATTATGGAAGTGTTAATTGGTGTGTACATTGAATTTCTGCCGAATGAATTTCTGTTATTTTTCTTTTATTCGAAATACAATTATCTCAGCAAATACAACTAACAATAATATAATATTAATAACATAGTTTCCTATTCAATAATGTATTGTAAATGCAATATAACGCGCATATTATGTAACAGTTACATTGTGAAATGGGAAATTATAACATTGATGTTACGTTATTGTTAATTGATGTTTACTAGGATGTTTGTTTCAAAATTATTCAATACTGAATTTCGTTAATGTCATCAATTAATGGACTTCCTTCGCACTCCGTTTTTTTTTTACTTGCCATTTGTAGTCAGTAAAATACAATATTCTTGATCTTACCCTGTTCCGATAGAGCTGTATCATCATTCTCTTCACTAGTGTGCTAAACTGATCGAACCATAATATACTCGGATAATTTTTACTTTCAAATTCGAACTCCTGTTTCGTTCGGTGAACCGGCAGAATCGGTGCTTTCATTTCACACAAGCGATCATTCGCTCGGTCAGATCGAAACCGTACTCTCCTGACGAAATTTCTATCACTGAAACAATTGTAGTTTATTAAGTGATTAAGTGAAGACGATATTAAATGATATTTCTCTATGTATATTTGGACGCGACATGATTTTGATTTTTCTATTCAATTAAGCACAAATAAAATTTAAAAAATATACACGGTTAAAAAATTTAAGACTCTTTTTTTCTCCTCTGAAAAACGTATATATTAAAATGTTATAAAATATTATAAAATATTTGTCAAAAATGATAAAAGTAAAACGTGTATTAATAAGCAAACGCAGTACAATGTTACATTATGTGCAAATAGTTATCATGTACCATCATGTATCATGTATCATGTATCATCAGATCAGACGTTTATTATTATCTACGTATTCCTGCGACTTATATACTTTCTCAGATAACAATTTAATGTAACTTATGAATCTATTCTCTTGAAATGCTTAATACTATTATTTTGGGCGTACAATATTAGCAGAAATCAGTGTAATTTAGAGTAATTTACAATTGAACATAAGGTCGTTTTTCACATTCTTGTAAATTTACCGAAATCTGCGGGATTGTAATGTCTCGGAAATTCTATGCCCACGCTTTATAGATATGGCACTAGGTTGCTCGCACTGCCTCTGTAAATGCATTGTTCTGCAGTGATGACGTAGACGTGGTTAAATTTTTGAAATATTTTCGCGCTGGGGGTGTGTATCGAACATATGACAGTATGTCCAATATGCGCCAATTTTTGCAGAAGCTCGATACATTGAAAAGAAGACAGTTCATCCAAACCACTGAAAGAAAGTTGATCGCTTAGCATTTCGCGATTGCTCGGGATATTTGTTTGATACCTTGCAAGTGTGAGATATAATGACTTGATAATGAGAGATTAAAACATTTCTTCGCGTATATTTCGAATATACCACTTACTATTAAATATTTATCTCTTGTCTGTGTTTAACTATCCGCGCATGTATTTATCTTTATTAAAGAATTCTTCACATTTTCACATTTTATGTTTCAATGAAAAGTCGTCTTCTTATGTATTCTTAAAAGATAATATTATGTAAGTGATAAATTAAAAATTTTTTATATATTCCTTTATTATAAATGCATAATGATACGTAAATGCGCAGTACTAATTGTCTTGAAAAATGAATATGTAAAATGAAAAATGAGAAATGAATGAATATTTCCAAAGTAATTACTGTGTAAAACGAGAATGAATGCAAGGAACAACAATTCACAGAGTGTTCTCGAATAGCTTTTTTTTTATATCGAGGGGCGTGCAGAACTCTCATCGGAAAGAGAAAAAAAGTTTATATAAACTGCATCTTCTAAATAATATTACATTTTACGTATGGTTAACAAAAAGCAAAATGTTAACTACTGTCAATGTAATAAATGTCATTTTTTTCTGTTAATTACATGTTAGCGAACCTCAATCATTTTATTAATTTGATGTGTAGGATATATCATACGCAATGATTTATGCTCTTATCAAGCATAACTAAGCTGAAATGTGTAATTATTCAAAAAGAATAATTAATTAAAATTTCAACGTGTTATCGCTATGAATTTTTATGTGAACAGCATGTGAATAGCATCGAGATAGAAAATAAAAAAGAAACAAATATAATAGGACGTTAAAATTAGAAAGGAAAAAATTAATGCAATAGATAACTATTTGCGTGTAAGCATCGTTTTACATGTATAAAAAAAGTGGCGAAAATTACCTATGATATTGTGTATTGTAAACTTATATTGCGTGAAGCATCAAAGACGAATGCCAAAACTGAAGAAAGCCCGATGATTTCTAAACGAAAGCAGGTAGCTATTAAGCTTAATCTAATGTAATACATTATCACAAACATAGTTTTGGCAAGTATCTGTCCATTGTAACATATTGACACTGAAAGAATTGAAAATCCTCAACGCGTTGTAACATTTTAGATTTTGGCCTGTATATGATGGCGGTGAGATGTCGCCTTATCGCTATTGAAATTTTTTCGACTCTCATATAGTACTATCAAATGGCATAGTTAATTTTTTTGCATGCTCGTAATCAACTTTGGACCGACTTCTATCTTGCATCTTGCACACTCACGTAGTTGGGTCGTCGAGAAAAACAACCGGCGGATTATTCACTAACTCGAGAGCAATCATTAACCTCTTCTTTTCCCCGCCAGAAAGTTTCTCCGTAATTGTGTTTCGTGAACTGGACAATCTTAATGTGTTCAAAATCTCGTCTATCTGAAAGTGCCACATATTTCTGTGATTTACGCGCGGCAACAAACGTATAAATATGTGACGATANAGTATCTGTCCATTGTAACATATTGACACTGAAAGAATTGAAAATCCTCAACGCGTTGTAACATTTTAGATTTTGGCCTGTATATGATGGCGGTGAGATGTCGCCTTATCGCTATTGAAATTTTTTCGACTCTCATATAGTACTATCAAATGGCATAGTTAATTTTTTTGCATGCTCGTAATCAACTTTGGACCGACTTCTATCTTGCATCTTGCACACTCACGTAGTTGGGTCGTCGAGAAAAACAACCGGCGGATTATTCACTAACTCGAGAGCAATCATTAACCTCTTCTTTTCC